TGAAGTACTTAAAGTATTAAAAGTAAAATTCTTCATTTTCAAACAGAAGTTGTGAAGTTTAAAACCTTCTTACATATTCACCATAGACACGCCCTCAGAGCAATCATTTATTTGATTATTCTATTTACACCTATTTTTCCATCCTTACTGCCATCGCCATCATTTTTCAGCATTTCCTGTCCATCTAGAACCTTTGCTTAGTTGCTTTGTAGAGTATGTGTGCTCTAACAGGCCAGGATTTTCTGCAGTGAATGCTCCATTGATAACATGCCTTTCAGTTGGCTGGTTGATGGGGGACATTTTAAAGAATACAGATGCTCCATTCAATTGCACAATGTCCTGTCTCACTGTGCATAATGAGACGGTTTTCCGTCGAGTTGTGAGACCCAAACACTGAGCAGCTTTGTGGTAGTGACTCGGTTTGTCCATGTAAAGGCGCTCTGAGGAAGAGGAAGTAAACATCACAATGGCTGATTTGTTTGCATTGTCATCATGGAGAATGGTCATGGCCTCTTTAAGGTGCATTTGTCCATTTTGTGTATTCTCCCACATTTACTGCATCTCCCCTTCACTTTGATCCCTTTCATAATGTAATCCTTGGAGAGTTTTCTTTTTAATTCTGTGCATGCACTAAGGAAATGGTCTCTGGCATTACAGTAGGGAAAGTAAGGGTTAGGCTTATTAACATTTACCTTTCCTTTGGTGTCGGCTATTGGTGTGCTTTCTGACTCAGATTTTGTCAACAAGTAGACAGAGGATACTTGTCTGGAGGGTTGCCGTTTTTTTTTTCCAGTTCTTGGTCTTTTCGGTTTGTGGAGCTCAACAGCTCTCTCTGATATGCGTTTGGCTCTCGACTTTTACTGTTGCCAGGTTGAGAGGTGAAGGAGGGAGTACGTTTGGTTTGCCTGCCCTGTCAAAATGCCACATACGGTGCTCACCAGATCCGTCTCTGTACTGCACAGGGAGTTTACTTAGGAGCCTGACAACATGAGAGCCACGTCTTAACTCAGACCCGTTAGGGCCCTTCAGGGACAGCAACATAGCCACCAGAGCTTGGACAGAAAGGGTAAAATCATTAAAGGCTTCTACATCACCCATGCGAATAATGGGGGAGTTTAATATTGCTTGGATTTCACTCTGAACTAGCAGCCTTGGCTGACCATATTTCGCTTGAAGTGCTAGGAGAGCAGTGGGCTTTGTTCTTCCATCATGCATGCCGGATCTAGCCAATCGGTTTGCTCCTGGGTGCTTAAGATGTTCCAAGATGACCTGGTATTTATAATGCTCAGTGAGATGGGGATGATAGTCAAGAAGGTCATCCGGAGCCATTTTAAGGAGGGGAAAATCACTCTCTCTGCCACTTTTAAACACAGGAAGTGAAGATGTTGGTATTCTACATGCAGAGGATATGCACAGATCCATGACATTGGGGGTTTGAGAATGTGGCATCTGGGATGACATGGCTTGCATTGGAGGTAGACTGTCAGTGAAAGTCTGCTGTCCAGGACCAGGCATGGATGCTATATAATTTGGGCTTGGATTTGAGATGCAGGTGCAGGTGCATGGTGATTAGAAAGAGAAGAAGCTATCACGTTAGCAGATGCATGGTGACTGAAAGAGTGTATAGCCTGGGCAGAAACATAGGGAATAGACAGCAGTGCAGCTTGAGCAGTAGCTATAGAGGGCAAAGACTGAGCCTGGACAAGCGCTAAACCTTGAGATATCAGTTGAGACATGGGAAGGGTCTGGGAGGCCCTATAGTTTTCCAGGAAAGCTGACAGGTTCAGGGAGGCTGGAGTGAATATCCTGGAAGGAGCCAGATCATAAAAGAAGAAGTGGCTCCGTTTCCATGATGAGGTGAGGGAGATAGGAGCAGAAGCCACACCAGGGTGTTTATCTTCTGAGAGATCCTGTCTGATAAAACTGGAAACAGTCTGGGCTGACTCAAGCTCTTGTTCTTTAATACAAATGTGTCGGTTCATGTCAGCCTGTCTGCCAATTCTCTCTCTCCTTGTGTGCATCTTCTTGCCTATACTGAGCAGCTATGTCTTTCTCATCAGCCGTACAGGCTGAACTTGCTGATCCTTCATTTCTGTCCAAACAATAAAATATTTACTCATCCTTAACTAGGTTGAAGAATTTTTAGGCTCAAGAGAAAATGCTAGGACTGTGGTGACAATATTGGCTGAAGAGATGATTCGAAGATGTGGAATACCAACCATGGTAAATAGTCCCATTACATCAGATCATTCGGCATAGTGTAAAGAATGAACCAAACTATCAAGAAAAAGCTGACTAAAGCTATGGTACAGACTGGCAAATCTTGGGTTAAAAATGATGTCTGCTGGCTGCTGTCCTAAGCTGACATTAGAATGACTTTAACCACTAATATTTCCTTCTTTGTCTGATGGGACGTCCAATTCCAACTTCTTGGGTACGTGAAAAAGGTGGTCCATTCCTTCCCTGGGACATGGACACAGCTTTAGGTGACTGTGGCATCTATGGTGATATTTCTTTGTCTCTTCCTCTCCCCAGTGAACATCCTATGCACGACTTCCAATTTGGACAGATGGTCCTGGTCAAATCCCTGAATCCCAGAAACCTTGAAGACGCAACCACAATATAAAAATATCCCTAAAAAGGTCAAAGTATACAATGTCATAGAAATATCATAGTATAGTATGACAAAGTGTCACAGTATAGTATATCATAAAAATATAGTATACAATCTTAAAAATGTACTAGTATCGTATGTCATGTTAAAAGTCATACTATAGTATATTATTAGATTGTCCTCTTCTTTATACTTCTACTCCATATTGCAGAGGCAAATATTGTACTTTTTACTTTTTTACTACATTAACTTGATACCTTTAGATACTAGTTACTTTGCAGATCTAAATTTACGCTACAAAACACAATCAACAATCAAATTATGATGTATTATCGGTTTAGTTAATCTAAGAAATTTGGTAGCTACCCATCAGTATGTATTGTAAAAAATAAGCCCCACCTTTACCAGCTGCAACATTAAAGTAACATTAAGGCATCAATAAATATACTTCAATAATATGATATACATTATTGCAAATGGGCCATTGTGCTAGCGGAACACTTTTTGTACTTTAAATGTGCGATTTTAAGCATTTCGATTGCCTCTCAACGGCTCTCAACATGACGACGGCTGAGCTGGCGATTCACAGCTAACGTTTCTAACAGCGCAAGCAAAAGTAACGACAGAGCTAACAGTGTTTACCTGAGCAGTAACCAGAAACCAGAGGGTGGCCGCTACGCTTCCACAACAACTCCGTTGGTCGGGACGACATTATCAACTGTCAATTGGGAAGAAAGATGACAGATGAAAGATTGTTGTGGTAGATTTTAATTCTCATCTGACACTTCATAGCTTTTATAACAAATAACCTGACAGAATACTAAAACACAGCTAACAGACAAAAAAGCTCAGTTCAAAAGGAAAAAAAAGATAAGAAACTACACAAACAGCAATGCCAAGACTTTTAAAAAAGTGACCCCCACAATGCCTTCTGAAGTCAAGTCCATCATATAATGACAAGTAATCATCGTACAGCTTGAGAGAAGTGCTTTCTGTTGTTGAAGCATGGTGGTGATCATTGATAAAAGCCCTATTGTGTAGATACTGCGTCAACCAAGATCCAATTTATGAACATAACAACAGAGCAGATGCTCATTATTAACATTGAGAGGAGAAATTATCAAATTTTTTTTTTTTTGAATAAAGCAGCATAAGGAGTACTACTACTTTGTTGTTCTTACAAAGAATGGACAAGTTAACGTTTTGGTACACCTTGGTTTTTAAACGTGACAAAATACAGAAAAGCAACACAAAGTATACCAATACAGCCAAAACAATTTCACTTGGTGCTTCATGATCGAAAAAACACAAAGTTTAATCGTAGTTCCGCTTTAGCAAAACAATATAGACGAATAAACACATTGTTTATTTCATACAAATAACAATTGCACAACTTGGCAAGTAGACACAAAGTATTTCAAACATCAACTTTAAATGAACAACAATGTGCAACAGGATATAATTAATATATTAATGCAGGAGTAAGGCCATGAACCAGAACAAATCATTTTAATCCATTTTCAATCATTTAGTGTTAAGGTCAGAATGCATGATTTCTGCCATTCTGTGACGCTCTTCGGGATTATCATGAATGATGATTATTAATCGACTATTGTTAAGCTTCCAATTTCTTAGCAATGCTCTGTAAAGAAAGCAATTACTTGCTTTCTTTACAATTGTATATTTAAAGTTTTAAAGTACATTTATAACTTTAAAAAACAGACTTTCAAGTTGCCACTTCATGAACACAATGTAGTCAGCTGTGAAATACTGTCTCTTCATTGACAGTTTAATTAAGTCCACAAAATGGTACAATTTGGACTTTTTTCGGCTCTTTTAGAATTTATCAAAAGACAAAAAGAGAGAGAAGATGACAAAATAAGATTTCCAGCCAAAACAATATTGACTGGATTCGCCAAAATCATTTTTATAATTGCATAATTCACCCTTGTTCTCTCCATTTTAATAGTCAAAAAATAATCAGTTTTCATGTCGTTTCAGTTTAGTTCCAATCACATTGATATCATCTGGATATGATTTAATTACTTTAAGGGATAATCCAATGAAAAGATCAAAATCAACAATAAATCAATCCTACTGACAAATATTGTGAATGCAGCAAAGGCTTGTGTCCCATAGATTGATAAAACACATCAGTGAGCCACACAAGATGATGTTCTTTCATTACAGTAAACCAGGGCACTGTAGTTTATATCCCATATACACTGACATGCTGCTGTCACTTGAACTCTAAATGTGTATTCATCCACAGCCTAAAATAGTCAGAAATAACTGCACTATATACTCCTGTTTGAGTAATTTTTGCTAGAAACTGCAATGCCCAGTATTTGAGAGAATTACAAACCTTTTTATTTATTTATTTAAAAAAAAAAATGTTTTTTTTGTAATGCCTTTTTTAAAATTTGTGTCATCAGTAGAAACATATAGGTTTGGGTCTAAGAGCCACAGAGAGGGTGAGGAGGTCAGAACATTTTGAAAGACAGGCTAACACACTTCTGTGAGGTTTTCATGTGATTTATTAACAATAACAAAAAGAATAAAGCTGGCCTTATTCTTTAATAAAAATATAAAACCTTCACTTGTAAGTAATTGTGAGGTCAGCTGGAGGGTTTTTACTATTAAATTGAAAACCACTGCTTTGTCTCACCTCAGTATGGAAACCTATAAGTCATGAAGTCAGTGTCAGGTCAGCCTCACTCACTCACTGAAGTCCATCTCCAGTCTGAAATTTAAACATCAAGCAACTAAAAAGCACAGTTTGGTTTGAGTCTTTGACACCATGACTAGATACAAATTTGAACAAAAAAAACCTCACATTTCAGCGATATGATGTTAGCAGCATCGTAGGTACCGGACTTTTCATATGCTGCTGTAAATCGTTTTTTTTCCTTCAAAATTCTAAAGACAAACAACACGTAACACAAACGAGTCCAATCAAATTCAAGTAAACACAGTCAACACTTTTCTTAATCTTCCTTCAAACACATTTGAAGTCAACAAAATATCCGTTTCACTATTTCACCGTGAATTCACTTTAAATTAAGTGTGAATTGGTGGTACGTCGTACAGTATGTGCTGATGTACGGATATGCTAATTGTGCAATGTCTTCCAATTTTTTTCCACAATACTTGCTGTAAAAACTTCTGTAGTGCTGTTAGAAACTATTAGAAATGCAGCGACTCTGTCCGTATCAACAGTACATACACAACATGACAAGTGTGTGGTTCTCGGTTCACATATCTACAATCTTCTACCTCAGTAACGGCTCCATGTCGTCTGTCTTCTCTGGAATACAGTGCTCCTCCTGATGACCCTGTGAGACGGGACATGGTGCGTCCATGAAGGTAGTGTAACCTGTTTCGCCTGCTCCTCCTCCTTATCTTACATCCGTCAGCCAGTGAGTCACAGAGCAGAGACTTTGATGATGTTGGTGCCAGCTGAGCTTGTTGTGGTCTGGATGCTTGGAGGTGCAGGGTGACCCGAGGCTAGGGGCGGCCTCCTCTGCGGGGCCCTGCGTAGGCTATCGCCGGCCGGTGTCAAAGCGGGGGGGCACGGGAGGCTGATGATCGCCGTGGTGATCCGGCTGCCTTTGCTGTTGAGCCTGCCGCTTTCATCGGTTTTGCGGTTGAGGTTTGAACGACTAGAGAAAGAGATAATAGACAGAATAAATACAATTTCATAATGTTCATCGAAGCACACGATGTGCAGAATACACAGAGTGAGGTTTGAGATAACGCTGTCTACAAGATGAAGCACATAACATAACAGGCAGATTACTCCGTGAACACATCATATTTGAGCCATTAACAAATAATAATGACAAAAGATATGCCACACATTTCCTCTATTACTTTATAATATATTGCCGTGACATCCACTGGTACCTCTACAGTATATGATATATTAAAGTAAATCACTTTGCATGCAATTTTCATCTATTATTGTTTGTTGTAGTTTTAATTCTATGTAAGTACATAGTTGTAATGTATGGAAGTTCAGGCATTATATCTTTCAATAATAACTCTAATTCAATTTGAAAATGTAAAGGGTATTAGACACTTGTTTTTACCTTTTTAAAATGGTAATTTCATCCATATTACTGCAAACTTTTTTTCTTACTCCACCTCTCTACTTGTATTTAGCTTTACACCTGAACCGACCCTTCAAGTGGAAATATTGTGGGCAGCTTAATTGTAAACTATTTTACCCTCATAAAGTTGGCAGAATTCAGCTAACAGCCTGTATGCAAAGCCTCAGTCTCTCCTCCGATGCTGCTATCCTCTACTTTTACCTGGCGGTGTGTGATGGTGGATCACCAAACTGTATGTGGATGGCACTGAGCTCCTGCAGGGGGCCCTGGTATGTTGGGATGGGATGGCTGGAGGGCAGAGGAGTGTTTCTCTTTACCCTGCGGCAACAGCAGGTACCCGCAGAGCTGTCGTGGCTGGATATAGAGGGGCTACGTGACGGGTAGGTCTGTAGGGCTGTCTCTAAACAGTTCTGCTCGTACATCTGCTCATCCACAAACGCATGAGCCTGGAGAGAAGGAACAGAATGGTGGTTTAAATACACATGGAGATAATGGTGCAGATAGAGAGGAAAACTGAATGCGAAGTCAATAAAAAACAGACTCTTGGGACCCGAGTGATGTATGAAACATGTTTGACTAAAAAATACACAGAAGAAAGATGATTAATACTGATTATAATAATAAACTAATGGTAAATCCACAAACTCATTTAGTATATTTGCAGAATGGAGAGCGGATCCAGTGCCCCTGTTCTATACAAATTTGTGTTTTTTGACACCAAAACCTTTTGCAAAACAGCAGCTCTCAAACTTCTACTCTTTAAAGGGTACAATGAGTCACAGAACATCCAAATCCGGTCCGAAAGGTCCAAATCACTGCGTGCAGACAGGATTAACCTCTACTTACACAACATGTCAAGTGAGAAGTTGAATGTAAACATTGTGAAGCATTTTTGCCAAGAATTTGTCTCTTACTTCTAACTGATGTTGAGGCACAGATTTAACGAGCTGGAAATCATCGCTGTCATGGCAGTAGACATCTTTGACAGCAATATTTTACAGTACAGTAAAACCTCTAACCCTGAAGTAATGTACATGTTGTGCACAACTTTTGTGTCTTTTTCACTGGTGTAAAAATATTATTATCATGAGTCAATACTTAAATGACAAATAAACACATCATTTCAACTCCATGAATGTAGGTGGCAGATTTTTGGAGTCAAAGATAGAGAAGTGTTCCAGTGTACCTACAGTGGTTTTCTCCAGACAGTTCAGTAGGTGGTGGTGTTGGCTCTCTAACAGAGAGGTGGACTTAGTCAGCTTCTGCTCATCCTCTTCTGTATCCTTAGTAAGTCACACACACACACACACACACACACACACACACACACACACACACAC